AATAGCATCTCCAAACTAATTAAAATTGAACTAAGAGTCAGGGAAGAAAAAGCGTCCTGGCACACTGAAATATATGAAAATGTTGCAGGGAGTTAAGGCAGTAAAGCAGTGTTCATTAATGATGTAACGCTGAAAACAGCTGAAATCCTGGGTTGGGCTAATGAGTATGTTTATGCAGCCTATGGCAAGTGATAGTATTCTTGGAATCTAAAGTTTTTTGGCATGATACTTTAGAAAGGACAAGGAGAATCGGAACTCAGAATAGAGTGCTAAGAATGGTAGCAGTAAAGGAAACCATGTCATAAGAATGGTGGACTGGGAGACTAGCTTACTTCAGAGGGACCCCGTGGACTAGACGGGATCTGAATGCAGAAGTCCTGGGGGTTTTTCTTGCCTTTGTCTCTCTAACTTTATTTTTTGTTGCCCTTTCAACTCCAAAATCGGCATTCTTGCTGTGCTGGGGCCTCGAGGCCAGGGCAACACTAGGATATGCCTTCTTGTGTACTGAGAGGAGAGAAGAGGGGGAATGGCAGTCAGACCCTCTCTCAGGTCAGAATTGCTTCTCAGAATGTGAAAGCAAGAGAACTGTAGGCTGTAAACTCTTGAGTAAAGAGAACATCATTCGGTACTAGAGAATTCAAAGTGTCATATAAACTTTCTCACAGTGGGGGGGGGTGACCTGAATTTGTAGGGTGCATCTTTTGTGTAATTGTCTTATTAGATTATACATTTTATAATATTTAAAAATATTTTCATTAGTACATGTTTACAGTACATAATAATTACAAAACTCATAACAGGGTATTGGTACATGTACATAACACATCTTAAATAAATTTTTTGAAGGAAAATTTGTTATTCCTATAATTCCCACCTGCTGATAAAGTACCTTGCTGGTGATACTTCTGTGTGAACGCCTCTTGATCTCTTTTTACTCATCTGGTAACATAGCACTTCAAACGTTATTCAGTTATAGTACTCATGTTGCATTATGCCTTTCTGTGTTTATAAACCTGGTAGTTAGGTTGTAAGGCCTTTGAGAATAGGATGGGAATGATCTTGTTCATGTTTTTATCTCCCAGTACCTATGCCAGGATCTACTACAAACTGAATACTCATTTAATAGTATGGAATAAATGAATGTGGATCTATAATCATACCAGGTGCTCAGAAGCTTAGAGGAAATCTCCAAAATCACCCCATTTTATCATTATGTTCTTTTGTCTCTTTGCTGGTGATCCTACTTCTGTTTGCCTGGTTGCATCTCTCATGTTATTGTCTGATTTTATTTCTTTCTCTCTGTAATCTTGTCTTCTCCTGTGATATTGAATATAAGAATGGGTTTGGTAACAAGTTACATTTGTACTTTACCCTTCCTTCAGACTGCTGACATCTGGGCAGCTGAGGTATTAATCCTCAAGAGAAATAACAAAACACACTATTTCACTAAAGCTCTGACCATTCTCCTCCTTAACAAGTGATATCAGAAGTTTTTTGAAGTTTGGAAATCTGCTCAGCTGTGTGGGAGATCTGTCTCATCTAATCCAGTTGGCCAGCTGTGCAGCTGGAGACACTGACCAGATATGCCTTGCAGCTCAGTCTGTTGGCAACTCAGAGGCTGGATTTGAGGGGGCAGGAGGGGGAGTCTCCAGGTTTCTGACCTGAATGATAAATAGTAGTGAGGACATTCGAATTAATAGGAAATAATGAAGGGGTATTGTCTCGGTTACTTTTCTCTTATTGCTGAGACAAAATGCCTGACACCCAACATGAAGGAAGGAAATTATTTATTTAGCTTACAGTTTTTGGAAGTTTTAGAACTGTGGCTGCCTGCATGGTGTCTCAGTGAAAACTTCTAAACTGCTCAAGTTGACACAATGTATCGACTGTAACAAGTATAGACTTTGAGAGGTAAAGACCTGTGGGTTTAATTATGGAAATACTGAGTTTCACCATATCCTGAAGAACATGTTGGATGGTCAGCAATTGGTTGAGAAAATTTGAGAATCAGAGAAAAGGTCAAATTTGAGGTTTTTAAATCATAAGAATGAGTGATATTTCTATGGATATAATATAGCATTAGAAATGAGTTTTAAAAAGAGCTCAACATTTAAAGAAGAGAAACCCATGAAGAGAATGCGGAGAATGATCTGAGTATGAAAAGCCAAAGAATTGGCCCACTTATTTTAAAAAAAGCAAAAGTAAAATAAAAATTGAAAGGATGTGTGTCAATAGAACTAAATCTTGTAGAATAAAAATTTTCTCTTTGAATTTGATAATTTTGCTGTCAAAATCTTAATGAGAATAATTTCATTGAAAGGAAAAGCCTTGAAGACTAAAAACAAGATGAGAAACTGGATACAGAATGTGTGGAGGACTCTTTACGGTTATCAGAAAATAACCTTATCAAATTATCAGTTAATTAATTATAGGGTGATAATTAACATTTTAAAAAAGCCTAGAATCCGACCTCCCTTCTAATCCATTAAAGCCTGACCAGTCTTTGAGGGTGGAACATTTCAACCAAAACAAGGAGCCGTGGCTTTCCTACTAACCTAGGCCACTACAGGCTTTCTGCCAACACACCTGTCTCATATGACATTTACATGCATCCCAGATCTTGTGTGCTCCAAGCTCTCTCTCGTTCTCCTTGTTTTCCATTTAAAAAAAAAAAAAAAAAAAAAAAGAACAAAAAGACCTGCTTCAGGGCTCTGACTGGGCCAGCACCTTGGTATACTTGTAGTTCACCTCCCACCAAGGTCAATTGTTATCGTTTAGATCTAGACTGTCCCCAATGTCCCATGTGTTCTGAGTGGGTATAATATAGAGCTTTTAGAGGGTGATGAAGTCGTGGGGGTGCTGCACTCATCAATGGGTTAGTCCACGAGTGAGTTCAGAGTTAGGTGTGCTTTTGGAGGTTGGCCTGGTGGGAGAAGTGGGTCCCTAGTTGTGTGAGCTGAAAGGGTGTATCTCACCCTCTTCTCTTTCTACTCTGACCACGGTGATGTCAGCAGCTTCATCTGCTGTGCCCTTCTGCTGTGTTGTTTCTGCTTTGGAGCCAGCTGACGAGAATAAACTCCTCCTTCGTGGTGGGTATATTGAGTATTTTGTCCCAGTGACCAGGAAAATGACTAAAATACCAGAATATGCACAAGTGATGGTCTGTGCTTTCATGCTTCTTCAATAAACAGGGACACTGTCCTTGCCATCTTTTGTTTCCTTTTAATTGATGGTATTTCTCTTACCTGTTATTGATGCTGTAGCCAGATCTTGGAAAAACTGTACCTTAAAGGATTATATGTAGAACACTGACTATTGGCATTTTAACCTCTGGCCTCCAACTGTTAGCGCTCCTATTTTCTGTGAACACTCTGTGTGCATATGTGTGGTTGGTTTTATTTTGTTTTACTTTAGTTCTGTTTTTTGAGACAAAGTCTAGCTATATAGACTGGCTTCAAACTCCTAAGCCTCCTACCCCAGCCTTCTGAATATGTACCATGCCTGGTGGTAGAGGTCAGCTCAGCTTCTAATCTAGAACCTCCTTTGGAATAACTAGACTGTTGTTCCTTCTGTGCTTGCTGGTTTCTTCCTCAGTTTCTCCAGGAAGCTAAGAACTGACTAGAAATAGTAGAGTGAAGCAGGCACAGGTTTATTGTGATTTCTCTTCTGGGACTCTGGGTACCCAGGATTGCAGCCCCTTCACTGTTCAGGAAAGTAAGCCTGTGCCTCCAAAGGTCAGTGCTTGCTGTAGGGAGACCATATTACCTAAATCTATTTACTCTGGTTCTTAGCATCTCCAGTAAAAATTCACTAGCTTCTCTTCTAATTATCACCAGTGTACTCCAGGTACCTTTCACCTGGCTCACCCAGATGACCATGAAACTTTCTAACTGGTGGGGGATTTTGTTTTGTTTTGTTTGAGGCAGGGTTTAGCTATGTCGGTCAGTTAGGCCTAGAACTTACTTCGTAGGTCTGATTGACCCAGAACTCCTCCTCTGATAGACATGAGCCACCATACCAGGCTGTCCTTTTATTTTCCAGACCTGAAATGCTTTATAGAAACATAAATTGATCATTTTATTTTATTTTATTTTATTTTTTTTGCTTGAAATTCTTCAGTATAATTGCCCTTAGGAGAAAGTTTAGACTCTTTAACTCAAGTCTTACAAGGTATTTCATCATCTGCTTTACCTTTGTGTCACTTTTTCACCTCACAGTCTCTGCTTCAGCTATACTATTCTTTCAGTTCCTCTGCTACTATTTTCAACTTGGTTTCCAAACTTCTGTATTTGGAATTCTTTGGGATTTGTTTGATCTGTGTTTTAAACATGTAACACCTATTCATTCATTAAAACACAGCATAGTTTCTTAGGGAAAATTTCCCAGTTTGCAAACTAGATTAGTGGTCTTTCCTGCTACCCTGATAGCATTCTGTGCTTTCTGGTATGTTTTAATTATTCATTGGTACATTTAAATTTAAATTGTTTATTGATTCCTAGACATAAGCTCTGTGACGGAAGTAACCTTGCTACCTCACTTTTTCTTGTGAACCTTTGTAGCTAGAACGAACTTTCTCCGAACGTAGGAATCATATTACTGGTAGTGTTTATGTAAGTCAGCCTTTACGTTTTTTCTAGTCATGAGTTTATCTTTTCCAGTAATCAGTACACAAATGTACAACTGCTTTTAATGGCATACACTTGCAGTCCCGGTGCTCTTGGAGGCTGAAGCAGAAAGATCACAGGTTGGCACGTTGCCTGAATAACTTAGCTAGATCCTCTCTCAAAAGAAAAAAGAAAATGGACTGGTAATGGAGCTTAAGGCCCTGAATTCATCCCCTCATCTCCCAAACGAGTTCTGTAAATCAGTGCAAAAGAATTTTACCTAATTGAGGATATCAAATATTCAGTCACTAATGACATAAAGATAATCTAAGAGATATTTCTAATTTAGAATATTATAATTTTTGAAATTAATGTTATATTTTGTATTTCTTACAGGTGAAATGAATCAGAAATACAAAGAACTAAAAAAAAGGGAAGAAAATATGGACAGTAAGTGATAATTTTACAAGTATAGAAATCTATTCTTACTTGGCTGTTCATTTATAGAAACTCACAGGGATCTCATTTTATGGAGATACATGACTATTAAATACAAAACTGTAGACATTCAAGGCATTTTGTCCTGAAGAATATCTAAATTTCTAGCAAAATTTAGAGGTTGGTAGAGAAGTCCAAGAAAGTGATAACGTATGTGTATGTATTTCTATGTTAGGGATAGATTCTAAAGCTAGTACTTACTTTCATATTCTGTGCAAAGGTAGCCTGTAGCCATTTACTGATTGAATGCTAAATGTTCTTTTATGTACGTTTTATTATATTTACTTTTAATATAATTCAGCTTTTCATAATATTTAGCTCATTATTTGAGCTCTCCCCTCATTCATCAACTGTAGCTTTATTGGCCTTCCGTTAGTCTTTCATTTTTTAAAAAATCTCCACTGTATGCATAAATGTTAAATTTATATTGTGCATATAGAATTTTTTTAAATTGTAGGTGTTTATTACTGGCTTCTTTCTGAATTACCATTTTGCTAAAATCTGAAACTTTTTAGTCTTAATGTTAATTATTACTGCAAGGAGTACTAGAAAATTGTAATTGTCAACTTTAATTTTGCAGTAAAATCAAGATTTCTGTATAGTCTCAAAAAGTATCAAAAATTATCTCAAAATTAATTGTTTTCTCTTTTTAAAATAATACTTTTGGTTAAAGGAGTAGATGTAGGGCTGGGGATTTAGCTCATAAGCGCCTGCCTGGCAAGTGCAAGGTTGTGAGTTCAATCCCCAGTGCTGCCAAAAAAAAATAAATAAATAAAGGAGTAGATGTAAGATCATTGAGTGACAGCTCCATAGTGTTGGAATCACTAAATGCTACCTATAAAACAGCACATTCATATCTAAGACCTGTTGTTAAGTGTTGAAGCAGGACAATATTTAGTTTGATTATGGCCTACTACCTCCATATTCAATAAAAAATTTTTCCTGAAGATTATTTCAATTAAAATATATATTAAAACTAGAAAAGTGTAATGGAAATGCATTATAGAAGGCAATGAATTGATATTTATTTCATGTTAACAGTGAAACTTTTAGTTATAAATATTCAGTCTTTGGATGTTCTATAGCAGTAGTTGAAGAATATAAGTAACCAATATCATGTGCTTTTCTATATTACACAAATAAAATAATAATTTCTTAGAATCCATATTTGTAACTCTAATTATTAAATTTACTTTGAGATTAACACATTAAAAGTAAAATATGCATTTTTGATCATCAGCTATTTCTTAAGCCCGTGTTTTTAACTTTTAGTTTACCCCTATCAAATTCATAATAGGCTTTAAAAGTTTGAAAGTATGTAAAAATATCATGTATTGAGTAATCACCCTTGGGTTAAAAAAAGTTAAACAGTGGGAGTTTAAAATTTTTATTTGCTTTGAATTTCCAAAAAGTTTTGTGAATATCTAAAGAGTAGAGTCAGCTATATCAGCAGTGGCCTCTTGTGTGATGTTTTTCAACTGGCAGCTTTCATAGACTCTTTTGAGGAAACTAAGAATCAGGAGTTGGAACGGAAGGCACAGTTAGAAGCCAGCATTGTTGCACTTTTAGAGCATTGTAGTAGGGTAAGTACCATATTCCTATCTTGGGGTTTTCATTATTTTTACTGTGATTAACTTTCCAAATACAAATAATCAAAAAGTAGAAGTCTCATTATTATGTCTGCCCACTCAAACTGTTTTCTTTACATGCCCATTTTTGCCGTTTTATTCCTTTACACTGTTAATTTTTGTCTCTCAAAGCAAAATCTGAGCTATTAGGACAATGGGGAAAATAATGACATATGTACAATATCAGTATTCAGCACCAAGGCACTCATTATATTAACCATTGTTACTTTATTTGAATTTACAGGTTATTCACTTAGAAAATTACCAACTCTAGACATATTGCAAAATATTTAATATATTTTTACATTGTAAATGTTTCTTCTATGTGTACCTAATGAATATCTTGACTTATCAAAAATGTGTATTGAGCACCTACTATGTGTGTTGTACTATAGTAGTAAATTATATGAAGCTTTTAAAAGCTTTTAGTGTTTTACGACTACAAGGGGACCAAGAGATGGAAGAAGCAGAGAAGAGGGAAAAGTAAAAGAATTAGCAAGTGTAATGTATATGTATATACATATACATTATGTGTATGCTTGTATACCAAATGTAACATTTATATACCACAATGAATTTAGTAATCATTATGTACTAGTAAATATTTAAAAAGTTATGTAGTAGTAAATATTTTATTATGTAATAGTAAATATTTTCAAAGTTAAAGTGAGACTAATCATGCTAATGCCTACCTCCTGGATTGTTACAATGGTATAAAGAGATAGTGCTCATAAGTAGTTGGGCTTAGGAGAGATTCAGTGTGTTTTTAACTGAATAGCCATCGGGATAAAGATGTAGAGAGAAAGGAAAAGATCTCATGAGACACGCTAACTTGAGATGTTAACAGACCACTAGATATTTTGGACTCATGTATTTTAGCACTTTCAGGGTGAGATAGTAGGAACTGAATACAGGATCTACACACTGAGCTACATCCTGCAGCCCTTTTTTAGTTTTTAATTTGAGACATGGTCTTGCTAAGTCACTACATTGATAAAATGCAGACTGGGCTTGAACTTATGATCTTGTTGCCTCAGCTTACCAGAGTGCTGGAATTATAGGCATGTGCTGCCATGCCCTCCAGGGTCAGCACTTTATATACTGGGTTATTTTTTGGGGGGGTGTTCTTGTCATGCTCGTCTCATCCTTTCTCTTCTTCCTCCTCTTCCTTTTCTCCTGCTTGTCCTCTCTTGTGTGTGTGTGTGTGTGTGTGTGTGTGTGTGTGTGTGTGTGTGTGTGTTTAGGTTTGAACCCAAGGCCTTCCACATGCTAGGAAAATGCTTTACCATTGAGCCACACCCCCAAGCACCTTGTACACTTTTATTTAGCCTTTGTGATAACTATAGAAGATGAAAGTTAGCTCATTTTACTGATGGATAAATGGAGTCTTGAACACTGATCTGCATGGCCCCAAACCCAGTCCCTCTTTCAGAGTAGAGCTTTGGCTCAGATTGACATCAGAGTGGAAGTCACCTTCATGGAAAACCTGTACCATCTCCTGTGGAGCCCAGCTTCCACCTGACCTGCAATCCCAAGGGCACTAAGATCTCTCTTTCTGAGGTGACTCTCTGCCTGGCCTTATTCTCTGTCCTCATCCTTCCCCTTCTCAGCCACAAAAACTCAAGCACCATCCACTGAAGGGGCTGGTTTAACTCTGGACCCCAAATCCTTAAAGGTTACATACAGCTCAACTCGGGATAACTTTAGTGTTAGGTTTAGTGTCTGCATGTAAATAGCCCAGCACCATTTAGTAAAGATAATCCTTTCCTTGGAGGTGCTTAGGATTATTTCTGCATCCTCTGTTCTGGCCTGGTGGTGTTCTTTCATAGATCTTACCCAATGATATAATACCCCAGTATCTACTTTTGTGCCAGTACCTTGCTGTTTTTGTCACTGAGGTTTTTGTAACATAATTATGAATCCTGGATTGTGGTGCCTTTCAGCTTGCTCTTGTTACCCAGGATTGCTTTTGCTATTCTGGATCTCCTAGGTTCCATGTGAATTTTGTGTTGTTTTCTCTAGTTTTGTGATGATTACTGTTGGTATATTGATTGGACTTATGTTAAACCTGTGTATCAGTTTTGAAAATATCCCATTTTGACAATAGTGGCTCTCCTGGTTAGGAACAGGAAATACCTTTCCATTTCTGGTGTCCTCTTGGATTCAGAGTATAGTACTGTAGTTTTCATTCTCTTGTTCTTTCACTTGCTGGGTTACCTTTCTTAGGCATAAATGCTTTTTTTGATACTGTTGTATTTTTTAAAAATTTTTAAAATTTTTCTAATTTAAAGAAAGATAAAACAAAATAGAAAATGGGCAGAAACAGTACATGCTTTCAAAGAAAAGAAATAAACAGTAATTGATCACTAGTTGATGTATACATATGGTCCCCGCACAAATAGTTGTCCAAGATACAAAAGTGGAACATATAAATGGAAATTCAACCAGGGATACTGCAAACAGTTCTGTTCAACTCAACTATCCAACAAAAACTAAGTAATATGCCTATCAATCCTGTACCCTTAGACATGTACACATTTATCCATATCTTCGTTTATGTTGAAACCTAACAAATCTTATTAGATTAAAATCCTTCTGAACCAAGATTAATAATATTGCTGGATTTTTATATCATAACACTCCAGAATCAGCACTGGGTACTACAGGGCCCCTTTCTTTCCTTCAAAGTATTTGTTCATTTCATCATGTGTCATAATATCAGTTCTTATAAACTGTCATAGGTTTTATGCAAGCATGAGTCTGAACATGTATTTCTGTCTTTTCTATATTAGAGGGAAAACAGAGCAAAGCAGGACAGAACTAAACATATTCCTATAGACATATAAAACTAAAAAAAAATATAAAACTTCTATATAAGGAGTTCTGCCATGGTCACTGTGCTGTTTCTTGTTATGACCCAAATTGGCTATATCATCAGATAAAATATAATTGAACATATCAGTACATAACAGAATTAACAGAAATACAACTTTGTAGATAGTGTAAAGCTAAAAAAACAGGTAGTAATCAAATCAGAATGGATATCATAGTGAATCATTATAATTTTCAGTATAGTCTATACTCCTCGATACCAACAATCTAACAGTTTTGAATAAAATCTGTCAATAATAAGCAGTATTCAAACAAGTCAGATTTAACTAAGATCAGTCATGATACAACAGTATAAGTCATATAGGGATCCAGATTGAGTTAATAGGAAATTAAAGATGATCACTGTGCTGTGTCCTGATATCTTTGGGACAGCTCTCTGTGCCCCTCAGATCCAGTGCTTGTATACAAACTAGGATGTTATAAGTTCCAACCAAGCAGAGTGGTGCGAGTGATAAGGGTTTTAATTCCTGATACACTATTCGCTATATCTTCTACTGTTTTTTTTTTTTTTTTGAGACTATTCTTCCCCTTTACTCCCCCAGAATGAACTGTGTATTTTTGGGTCTCCCCGTCACTCACAGTTTTATATTGGGGGGGGGCAACCTGCTATTTACCTAAGTGTTTCTGAAGTTTCTCACTCCTGGGCTGGATTTCTAGTTATATTTCTTCATTTATTAAAGCCTGTCTGTTCAACCTATCCATAATTACTGGCCCAGTTACTACTCTCTGGTTCCCTATCACATCGAGTTCTGTTTTCTCATATTTGACTTTGGTCTATATAACCTTCTTGAGGCTAATTATATTTCCTGTAAAGTGGCTCTTGGTGGATCCTACCTTTTGATCCACTCTGCCTGTGATTCTCTCTTTTTTATCTTAAGTTAGTGTATTTAGGCCATCTATATTAGAAATTATATCCAACCTTCTTTTTCTCATTTCTGTTGTGCTCTTTTTCTGTCATTAGTTGTCTGTCTTTTTCATTTCTCTTTCTGCTCCATTTGTCACTGTTTCTGGAATCCTGATACTTTTCTCTCTTAGAATGTCCTGCAGTATTCTTTGTAGAGTTGGGTTGATGGTTGCGAATTCCCCCAGTTCCTCTTTATCTTGGAAGCACATTGTTTCTCCATTAATTTCTAGGGACAGTTGTGCAGGAAATATCAATCTTGGCTGGAGGTTATTGTCTTTCACGGCTTGGATTATTTTGCCCCATGCTCTTTGAGATTTGATGGTTCGTGTCGAGAAGTCTGCTGTAATTCTGATGGGTGTTCCCTTGTAAGTGACCTGTTTCTTGTCTCTAACAGCTTTTAATATTCTGTTCTTATATTGGATTTCTGGAATCCTGATTATTATATGCCTGGTGTAGTTCTCTTTTGATTGTAGGTGGCTGGAGTTCTGTATGCCTAGTACATCTGAGCATCTTTCCCTTTTCCTATTTTTGGGAAATTTTCCCTCATTATTTCTGTGAATAGCCTTTGCAGTTCCTTTGTTTGTACCCCTGCTTCTTCTTTCACGTTCTTTATTCTTAAGTTACAGATCTTCTTGTCATCTTCTAGCCCTTGTATTGTTACTTCTTGTTTCCTTGTTATTTTCACGAAGTTTTTCCTTTCATGTTCCCACATTACAAACCTGTCCTCCAGTTCAGATAGTCTATCCTTAGTTTCTTTCAAGCTCTTATGCCAGCTTTCAATAGAGTTTTTAATTTCTTGGTAATCTCTTTGAACCTGCTTCATGTATTCTATGTTTTCTCTATTTTCTCCATCAAACAATTCTGCCCTTATTTTTTTTGTTCTTTCATTCTATCACCTGTTTTTTCTTGGGAGGTGCTTAGCATTTCTTTAACTATTCTACTTGTATTTTGCTTTACTTGGTTAAATACCTCACTTTTGAACTCATCTATGAGGTCCCGAAGATACTGCTTTATGTCTATTGGTGCCATGCCTGATATTGCATGTCTTCTGTCCTCATTCTCCTTTGCATTTACTTTTCCTGGATCAGTGTTCTCAGGATTGGGGACTGAGGACCCTTTCTTGTTGTCTCTTCTTATATTTTTTGTTCCTTCTATACCATCGTATATAGGAGGCCCAGTTTCTTTCTTTGTCAGTTTTAATTTGTCTAAAGCGTGCTGACTAGGTGGTACTGCCCACTGCAGTGTACTAGAAGATAGACCCAGGCAGCCTATGTTGGGCCCACCCCTCCAGGTCAACCTACTGAAGGTTTCACTGCGTTAGGGTGCACTGCTAGGCACAGGGACCTGGTTTGGGCTAGCCTATTGGGCCTCAGTCCGTGGTGTCACCCAGGTCAAGTGCTCTCCACCAGTCCCATTTTAGAGGGGAATATGTGACTGAAGTCACTGCAGCGCTCTGTTCCAGAGCCTCTTTGTTAGAGTCTGTTTGTCTATGGAAAGGTTCCTGTTCCTCTCACTCACCGCAGGTTGATGCAGGGTTCCCCACCAGTTCTGCTCTCAATTTGGTTCACCGATTCCCACTCTCAGAGCATTTATGTTTCCGGTGAGTTGAAACTAGCAGGCTCTCCTGGTTGTGCCAATTAGGCGTGGCAGCAGCAGGGTATTCAAGTCTCGAGTTCCAGCGGCGACACCAAGACTTCAGCTGTTCCAATTGTAGCACCGAGATTGCATTTCCAATTGGTTTCTCTCAGCTTAGTTTATTCCTGGGTCGGCAGGGTTATATCTCCCTCTGCTTAGGACTCCCCACACCGCACCATTCCTGGAATCTAAGCCTGTGTAGATGCTGTTATCTGTCCACCATCTTCTCTTGATCCTCCTGATACTGTTGTATTATTTTCTGATTTGTTTCTCAGTGAAATGATTATGGAGATAGAGGAATTTTATTGATTTCTGTGCATTGGTTTTGTATCCTCCTATGTTACAGAGTCTTTTGAGGGAAGTTTTTTGAGTCTTCATGCAGAGGATCATGTCTGCAAATAATAATTTGACTTCTTTCTTTCCTATACATCTCTCTTTTTGTGGGGAACCACTCAGACTGCCTCAGAGATCAGGGACATCTAAGGACACCTGAGGATGTGCCCCTGCTTGTGCAGCACAAGCACACAGTAGGATGCAGTTATGTGACCATGATGTAGCACAGATAAACATGCATGCACTGGTTACAGCGCTAACTGAGAATGTAAATATGAGATCACAACTTGTATGGGAATGATACAGTAAAGACAAAGATGGCTCTTATGCTCTTGCACTCTGCTCTGCTCCATGCTGCCACTGTTATTGCTCAACTGTCTGTGTTTATGTGTAGAGGGCCTTTCTTCATGTGTGTTAAGTAGTCACACTGTCTACAACTTTTCCTATTGGCTGGAATTGCAGGGTTGTGTCATGAATAGACCCATTAGTATATCTGGTGTCAACTAGAAGCTCCTCTTTCCTTTTTTTTTTTTTGTTTTGTTTTTTGGTACTGGGGCTCAAACTTGCCAGGCAGGTGCTTTGTGCCACTGAGCTAACCCCCTGTTTCCACCTTTTTTCCCTTTTGTATAAGAACTAGGGATCAAGTCGTGTAATCTGTCCTCTTGGGACCCCCAAGACCCGGGTACTGTGGTCTGTCTCCTAATCGGCGTAAAAGGCCAATGTCACTTATTGCTTCACTGGGGCTGTTTTGGCCTTCTGGCCTTGGCTCATTAGGCAGAATTGCTGCTCAGGACAGAAAGGCCATGAAAAGCTGTCCATCTGACTTATCTGTGACTAGGCTGGCAGCCAGCAGGTTTGTCCAGATCTGGCACTGACCAACCTTCAGTGGCTGCACAGCTTGTCCTTGAGGGGATGACCCTGCTCACCAGGCCCCCCTGCTTTTTCTCCTTTGCCAGTACAGTTTTTGCAGATCTCACCTTACTGTGGCATTTTACTTCCTAGCCTGGACAAAACATCCATAGCATCTCGGATCTAGTGATCCGTAAAGGGGACTAGGAGGGATGCCACTGGCCCACTTGCCAGGATTATGTCCTTCATGCGATCCATCAGTAGTTCCTCATCTAGGCTATGGTACTGCAGTGTAAACATTATTTACCATATGCCCATTTCACATAACAGTTACCAAGTCTAGATAGTGTTGTGCCCCAGCAGGTCACCCAGATTTTTGCAAAGCAGGTGAGCCACTGCTATCAACCAATTTATCACAACCAGTTTATCTGCTTCTAGGGTCATCCTCTGGACATCCTGCAGAACCCATCTCATAGAAGGGGTGCTTGCTATACTGCTCTTTGGGGCATTTCTGTGAGCTTAACTGCATGTTGTCAACCCCATCGTCCCACAGCCACAGCAGACACACAGGCACTGTTTCACCCACCTTCTGTTTTAATTGTGCCATCTCTCACAGCTCCATGGTTGTATAGATCCTATATGTTGTGTGCGGGGGTACAGGTAGGTAGTCCTCCTCCGTGGGCCAGGGGTTCCTCTATCTCTGCTTTGTGATGAATAGCTGCCCTAGCATGCAAAACCAGGGGTTTTTCACTAAGGTTTTCTCAGGTATGAGGACTGATGCTTCTGGAGACTTTTCCCTGTCTGCCTCCCTCCCTCCCTTCCTTCCTTCCTTCCTTCCTTCCTTCCTTCCTTCCTTCCTTCCTTCCTTCCTTCCTTCCTTCCTTTTCCAAATCCATTTTATTTCAAGAAGGAAAAAAATACAAAATTTCAAAACATGTCAATCGGGGCAACAATGGTACATACATTGCGCATTGTCATTCCCAAATCATTCACCCGGAGCACAAGACATCTGCCTTCAGTTACCCGAACAATACCAGCGCAAATCTTTCTCTTCAGCAAACTCAGAGAAAGTAGTAGTATACTATTTTAACTATTTTTTATATACATATACTTATGTTGTTTCAGCTTCCCGCACTAATGGGACAATATGATGTTTGCCCATGTGTGTCTTATTTATTTCACTAATGAGTGTGGTCTCAGGTTGCCGTTTCTGGAGGAGGCAGTGCTTCCCATGCCTCGAAACATAAACTCCACAGCGACCAGCCATTGCTCAAGGTCCCCCTCTACCTGCTGTAGCTGGTCTACTTGCCAGGCAAGACGTTCGTCCTCTTTTGGTTTTTTTTGGTACTGGGGATTGAACTGAGTACCTCACACTTGTCAAACAGGTGCTTGTGAGCTAAACTCCTGGCCCTCCCCATCTTGATTTATGCAGCAAAAGAGAATGAAAGAGAGCCAGGCCACCTGCCCCACTGTTTCACGGTGAGGGGAGGAATTTTTCTATCCCTTTCAAGGCTTGCAAGACATCCCAGGCCTCCAAACAGACTGTGGCACAGTTCTCCAGGGCCTTTCATAGTGCCAAGAAGGTGGCTACAGGAGCCACAGAAAGGCCAGGGTTGCTTATCAGCTTTCTCTGGGGCTCTCCCTCCCATTTGGGTGCTGTTTCCACACCCTTCGTGGGACCACTAGCTTCAGTGTCCTGCTAACTATGCCAGTTGCTGACCTGCTCAGGGGGCTTGAGGGAGATTTTTGAGGGTGAGATTCTAAGGTTAAAGAATTCATATGTGCAAGACATCAGCAGCAACAGCAGGCAGCATAAAGTAGAGCAGAGAGCCAGAGTCTTCATTGTGTAATTCACACAGGTTTTACCTCATATCTGCCTATGTCATCAGTGTGTAATTCTTACACAGGTTGTTACCTCATGTTTCCATTCTTAAAGAGTGCTATAACCAGCACAAGTATGTTTCCCTGTGCTAAAGTTGTGGTTACAAACCGTATCCCATAGTGCACCTGTGGTAGACAAGCAGGATCATGTCCTCAGGGCTCCTTAAACACCTCTGAGCTTTGATGCAGTCTGAGTGGTTCCCCACAATGCCACATCACTATAAACTGAGAAATAAATTAACAATTTGTCATAGATCCATATAATGGAATACTGCTGAGGAGAAAGAGGAAACAGTGATTGATTTATGCAGTAAAATTTAAAAAGATTATAACTGTTGTTTACCAGCTCAGCTCTCAAAGTTCCCAGGAGGAAGGATGGTGAGAGGATGGAAAAATAAAGAAAAGAGACAACAGCTGAGGTCGGTGGAGCCCTTAGTCCTGATGGGAGGAAAGGAACTGCTCAACCACTGTAGGGGCATTTATTTATACACTCAGAAGAGTGATGCCAGTTGCAACCCTTCTGCCTAGCAACTTTTTGCCTGGCTGGCCTGGCACCTTGCCATTTTAGAGCTGCAATAGCTTGTTTACTTGGTTCACTTTGGGCTTCCCCTGTCCTCAGGGATGGCCTTGCTTTAGCCCCACGCGTGTGATCAGTCTCCAGATTCAGCCACTCATTACATATAACCAGTTCCTAAAATAACAAAGTGAAGTTTTTTTCTATGCAAAATAGAGCAAATAGGGAAAAATAGGAATTTACTCTTACTTATCAACAAAACCTGACTTTGAGTCTTACTGTTATTCCATGAAACATCAAAATTTAATCACATATTCAAAAACTAATAGCTGATGAAAACGTATCACCCTAACAGTGTTTCCCAATGGTTTTATGGAGCATTGAATCACTGGAATTTTTTTTCTATTTTTCTTTCTTCCAAAATACAGAATATAAATCGTATGAAACAGATATCTTCTATTACCAATCAAGAACTAAAGATAATGCAGGATGACCTCAATTTTAAATCTACTGAAGTGCAGAAATCACAAAGTACAGCTAGGAATTTGACTTCAGGTGAGACATGGTCTAAACTTTCATACTTGCTTTTTTTTTCCTGTAGCAAATTAGAACTTTAAAAATGTATCATTGTTATTCTCTCAGACCTTTTCTGAAAACATCACTGAAGAATGATGTAATGTATGATTGCCTCTTACCCGGATCATTTGTAATCTCGAGTTTGTGTAACTTTTCCCATCAACTTACTAGTATTACATTTTACTTAATGTTTATTGAATATAGCCTTCCCTGACTTGCAACAGTTTGACTTAGGAATTGTTTTTAAACTTTACAATGCTGTTTTTAAACTATACCTCAAATTTTGGGTTTTGATCTTATTTGAGGCCAGTGATAATGTAGTTTGATACTGTCACAATGCTGGACAGCAGAGGTGTGCTTCCAGTCATGAGAGCAGACCTTTAGTAGTCTGTAGTGTACTCTGTTGCTAAGCTATGAGACCTAGTAGGTTAAGTATATTTAGTAGCCTTTTGACTTAAATAATTTTCAACTTACAATGGATTTATTGGGAACCAACCCTGCATTCATGCCTGAACCGTATCCTGGGAATTGTCAAAGATAAAGCTGGATGCTAAAGTGGGAAGGGTGAATTTTAATCATGAATATAGTAAAACAGTAGAAAAGAGGGTCCAGTGTGAACAGAGTTCAACTTTAGTTTGTATAGAGGTGACTAGGCATTTTGAAGGAAAGGACTCTGAAGATAACAATAAACAATGCATTCATTATCATTACCCTCCTATTGTTTTGAAGTTTTGGTTTTTTTTTTTTATGTTGAAAAAAACAAGGAGAATGAGTTTAGCAGAGTAAGCGAACTGAACACTTGGCGCTTACCTCGGGCTTGTCGTGTACAGTAAATGCTGATTAGGCTTACTTGCTGTCTGCTTCCAGTAACCAGAGTTAGGACTTCATCTTCCCATAGAAACAGAAAGAGCGCCCTTGTCTCCTGATGACTACTTCACAAAGGAATGGCTCTCAGATCCTTGAGAAATTGACCCTCCTGGTTGTGAAGGGTGTATGTGTGTGTCTGGAAGGGACAGAGGAAGGTGTCACAGAATAAGTGTTTTCTGTGTATGTATAGGTATAGGTATATGTATATGTATATGTATATGTATATGTATGTATGTATATGTTGGGGGGTGTTGGGGATTTAACCCAAGGCCTTCTTACTGAGCTACATCACCACCCTCCCACCCTTCTTAAAAAATATTTCGAAGTCTATACAAGGCACTTAAGTTGCACAGGGTGGGCTTGAAACTGTGACCCTCCTGGCACAGCCTCCCATAGTGCTGCACAGCTCTGCCAGGTTTGTAAACCCTTTCTAGTGAATACTCTAGGAAGGATAGTTGGGGCCTGTTGTCTTCAGTTGGTCAGAACAAACAGTAAACTCTTTTGGCTGTGTTGGTTCATCACAGGCAAGACTTTAAGGGCAGGTGAAGTGGTCCTAAGGAAGCACTTGTTACAGTTATGATGTTAGAGGTAGATGCTACAGTTATGTTGGGGGCTGGGGATTTAGCTCAACGGGCATAAGCACCTGCCTTGCAAGCAGGTGGTCATGAGTTCGATCCCCGGTACCGGGGGTGGGGGGGGACTAATTATGTTTTAGTGTTTTTTAAAATAACATATTCATGAGGTGGTCATAATTCAGGTATCTCACTGCCAGCAACTCTGATTTGAATTTTATCATTCCTGCAGGCTTTAACCACCGGGGTGGTATATGCATGGCTGTCCTGCTGGGTGGTTCGTACCATTTCTAAAGAGGCTTTGATTACAGTAATGCAAAGAAAGGAGTTGTTCCCTAAGGAATTTATTACAGTTTTTTAAGGAAAACATTAAAATAGCATAAAAAATTATAACACAGCAATTCGTGGTAAAGCAGTTGTAAACATATATGTACCAACAATGGGATACTTATAAGATTTGCATGTTAAAATTTAGAGAATTAATTATTAGTAAACTATTTATGAGTATAAATTTCTTTTAATTTGATGAAATGAACTTGCTGATTATTGTAATAATTTTTAATTGATATGAATATTATTAACATTTATATTTGGGCAGTACTTACTAAAATTCAAGCAACTACCTAGGTTTGGTCCATTTATAGGCTTTTAATAAATTTATTAGTAGAAAGACTGATCAAAGCGAGTAGATCTATTTGACCAACAGTAATGAAAGCTATCCGATGGGACAGTCATGCATATACCACTGTGGTTCAGCTGATGGAAATGTGTTAAACATTTGGATACGGATAGAAAGTGGAGGATGATTCATCTGTGCCAAGAATCTGGAGTTTTTTGGGCCACAGTTGAGGCTTGTTTGAGAAGTGGCTTCAAAGAAGCCTAATAACTACTATAGTTTGGTTGGGAAGGGAATTTCTGTCAGTATATAAAGGTTTAAAACAATTCAGTCTGTTTCCTAAAGGAACAAACCTGGTAGAATGACAAATACAATAATACAATGAGATAATTCTATCAAAGAAACAAGCATAACGAGCAGTGGAGCTACGCAGGGCAAAGAGGCAGCCTAATCTCAGATAATTAGGGGAAGCACCCTAGAGAAGGTGATGTTCAGTTTTAAATATTAGTTCCAGCCACGCTCACTAGTGTGCAGCTAGAATGTAGCTGCTTAAGAGAAATGAAATGGAAACTACATTTATAATTAAAATTGTCTCATAACTGTAATTTAAAAAGTAAAAAGAGATAGCTAGATTTTAATAATCTGTTTATTCAACCTAGCATATCCAAGAAAGTAAAATGATCAATGAGATGTTTTATGCTTATATTCTTTACTTCATGGAAAAAAGTAAAATTTTATAATAATAGAAAAATAAAGTTAGTACATTGCATATTGTTAAAGTAGTTACTATAGGTACAAGATATGGGTATAAAAGATTCTCCAAATGATATTACAAACTTTCTTTTCAGTGAACTAAGAGAAACTAGTACTATATAACTGTTTTGTATTTTTTTTCCTTTTCTCTTCTTTTCTTGCCCCTTTCTTTCATCCTACTTCCATTTTACTTTTCAACAATGTCTTTCCATTTCACAGTATTTATTGTACATTTTGGAGCTCACTGTTTTCCATTTCTCATGCCAGGGAAACAATACAATGTTTGCTCATGTGGGTCTGATTTATTTCATTTATGAGTGCGGTCTCAAATTGCGTACATTTACCAATAAAAGTGTCAAGTTTATTCCTCTTTTTAGCTGAGTAGTACTCCACTGTATAAAAAGTCACATCTTTTTTTATCCATTCCTCTGTTGATGGGTTATTTCCAACAGTGAGCTATTACAAATTGTGCTGCTATAAACTTCAGTGTGGTATGATGTTTTTAATTTTTCTCGAAGATGCTCAGAAGGGGAATACTGGGTCAAATGGGAGCTGTGCTCCTAGTTTTTTGAGGAATCGCTACTAATTTCCACAGTGGTTGCACCATTCTGTATTCACACCAACTTTGAATTTGAGGGATGGAGTGGTGTGGTTATTTTCTTTATACACTCTATATGAAAGTCCTTTGTCTGTGGACAGTTGGCTAAAATTTTTTCCCACTCTATGGGATGTCTTTTCATTCTGTTGGTGATTCTTTTGTTGTGCAAAAAGCTTTTTAATAAGATGAGATCCTGCTTTTTGATTCTTTGTACTATTTGCTGTGTAGTCTAGATTTTGTGAAATCTGCCTACATCTGTCTTTAAGATTTCTACTTATTTTCTCTTCCAGTAAATTTAGTGTTTCTGTTTTGGTATTTAGATCTTTGATCCATTTTGATTTTAGCTTAGTGTGTGATGATAGACATAGATCTAGTTTTCGTCTTCAGCATGTGGAAAGCCAGTTTTTCCAGCACCATTTGTTAAAGAGACTTTCTTACAGTGAACATATTTGACTCCTTTGTCAAACATAAGGTGGCTCAGTGTGTTTGGATCTAATTTGTTCCCAAATCCTCAGGCCTTTTTTATTTTTATTTTTTCCAATACTATGTTGATTTAATCACAGTAGCTTTGTGCTTTGTAGTATAAATTCAGTAAAGGGATTGTGATGCCTCCTGCCTTGTGTTTGTTGTCCAGAATTGCCTTGGCTATTTTAGGTCTCCTGCTTCCAGATAAATTTTAGGAATATTTTCTCTAGTGAGGTGTGCTAATGGTGTTTTGACTGATATTGCCTTAAATCTGTGTAAGTTTTGGGAGTAGGGCCATTTTCACTATGTTGCTTCTTCCTATTCATGAGCAAGGGCTCTCTTTCCATTTTGTGACATCCCCTTCCATCTCCTTTTTGAGTACTGTGATTTTCAGTAAATAGATCTTTTTACTTCCTTCACTGAGTGATTCCTAAGTATTTCATTTTTTTTTTGATACTATTGTAAAGGGTGTAGTTTCCCTGATTTCTCTCTGTTTGTTGTTTGTACATAGGAATGCTATTGATTTTTGAGTGCTGACTTTGTATCCAGCTGTAATACTGAATTTGGTTTTTAAATCTACAGTTCTTGGCAAGTGTGAGGTTGTGAGTTTGATTCCTGGTTCAAAAAAAAAAGAACTACAAGTCTTTTGATGGAGTTTTTGGGATCATCCATGTAGAGTATCATGTCATCTGCAAAAAATAATAATTTAACTTCTTCCTTTCCTAGTCTTATTGCTTTTATTTCTCTCTCTTGTCTTAAGTGTTAAACATTAGGTAAATGTTTCCAGAACTGTATTAAACAGGAGTGGTGATAGTGGACATCCTTGTCTTGTTTCTGATTTTACAGTGAAAGCTTTCAGTTTTTGACCATTTAATATGTTAGCTGTTGGTTTGTGATACATGGCTTTTATCAGATTGAGATAAAGAGCATCTATTCCAATTTTCTGTAGGTTTTCTTTTTTAATCATGAATGGGCATTGGACATTGTCAAATGCTTTTTCTGTATCTATTAAAATAATACGGTTTTTGTCTTTGGTTCTGTTAGTTTAGTGGATTACATTTATTGATTTGCATATTTTGAATTATTCCTGCATCCCTGGGAGGAATCT